TTTTAGGGTTTTAGGGTTTTAGGGGTTCAGGGTTTAGGGTTCTAGGGTTTAAGGTTTTGGGGTTTTAGGGTTTTAGGGTTTTAGGTTTTTAGGGTTTTAGGGTTGTAGGGGTTAAGGGCTTTAGGGGTTTTAAGGGTTTTAGGGTTGTAGAGTTTCAGGGTTTTTAGGGCTTTAGGGTTTTCAGGGTTTTCAGGGTTTTTAGGGTTTGAGGGTTTTAGGGCATTAGGGCTTTAGGGTTTTCGGTTTTGAGGGTTTTTAGGGTTTTAGTGTTTTAGCGTTACAGTTTTTTTCCACGGTTTTTAGTGGTTTTTAGAGTTTTAGGGTTTAGGGTTTTTGGCGTTTTATGGTTTAGAGGTTTTTAGGTTTTTAGTGGTTTTATGGTTTTAGGGTTTTAGGGTTTTGGGGTTTTGAGGGTTTTAGGGGTTTCGTGCTTTAGGTTTTTAGGGTTTAGGGTTTTTTAGGGTTTTGGGATTTTAGGGTTTTAGGGTTTTAGGGTTTTAGGGTTTTAGGTTTTTAGGGTTGTAGGGGTTCATGGCTTTTAGGGTTTTTAAGGTTTTTAGGGTTTTTAGGGTTTTAGGGTTTTAGAGCTTCAGGGTTTTTAGGGTTTTAGGGGTTTAGGGCTTTAAGGTCCCAGGGTTAAGGGTTTTAGGGTTTCAGGGTTTTAGGGTTGTAGTTTTGTTTTGGATTTTATAGTTTGAAGGTTTTTAAGAATTTGAGTGTTTGAAAGTTTTTAGGGTTCTTATGGTTTCAGGGTTTGAAAGTTCTTAGTGTTTTTAGGGTTTAGTGGTTTTTAGTTTTTTGTATTCTGATTTTTAGGGTTTTAAGGGTTTTCGGGTTTTTGTGGTTTTCGGGTTTTTAAGGTTTAAGGGTTTTAGGGGTTTAGGGCTTTAGGGTTTAGGGATTTGGCGGGCTTTAGGGTCCACAGGGCTTGTAGGATTTGCTGGGTTTCTGCGGTTTGGCTTTAGGGTCCGTAGGGCTCAAAGGATTTACTCGGTTCATGAGTTGCATGGCTTTTCTAGTGTTTAGAAGGCTCATTGGGATTCCATACATATATATATTATGCAAACATATACATATACAGAGGGCTAATTGATTATTCTTGAAATCCTGCGCCCACAGCACTTGAAAACCTCAGCTGTTGAGGCACAGAAACAGCTCGGCTTGTCGGGAAATGTCCCATGCTGCAGTTCTTCTATTTTACGATGGGAGGATTCCAAAAGTATGCCAAACAAATAGGGGTTCCTCAAACGAAGCAAGTAAAATCAAGTAAGCCCTGAAGAAGACTTTGGATTCTGGATATGATTCTGGCGGAAGCAGAAGACAAATGATGCAGTCCATATTGGCCATGCCTCATACTAGGCTTCTTCTTTTGTAGTTTTTCGAGACCTTTGCAATGCCTATCTGCACACACAAGTCTACAGCAATAGGGACGCCCCGAAATTCTTCGTTGCGCCACCTATGTTCTTTTCTGGGGAGCCTGTGGCCCCGCAGGACCTGGGCGCCAAGCCGCTGAAGCCCATCTCTGCGCATGTAGTGCAGTTCAGCTGGGGCAGAGGCCTGTGGCTTACGGTTCTGAATCGTAAAGAACCCTGAGCCCTAAACCCATTCGTATCTAGGAATCTAGGGCTTCTTTGGAATTTAAATGGACTTAGGCGTTATGATCTTGATAGGTTTCAGGGCTCTGGGCATTAATAATTGTATGCAGCCCATATGAGCTGTAGTCTAAACTCCTTGCAGAGGGAATGAAATTGGGGACTACTATGAGGGTTATTAAGGTTATTGTTCATATGACTATAGTACTTAAATCAAGGAGTTGTAGTAGAGAAGAGGATAACCTTACCTACACATATACATGTTTGCCGACAGTCTGTTCAGAGGCGACTACGCGGATACCATTTTCTACACCCACATAAAGGACAAGAGCAAGAGACAGAGCATCCTGAGCTGCGTGGCTGGAAGGGAAGTCGCCTTACCTGCTTCGTCTATCCTTCATCCACAATTTTCGGATTTGATCATAAAAAGTATCATATGTTGATCCAACTTGTAGTTTTTCTTTCTACTAGTTCTGCTGCTGCCGCCAGTACTGGTGGAAGTGGCAGTGCTTGTGGTGGTAGCAGGAGCAGTCGAACATTGTAGTGATGCTTGTGATTCTCACTCTGAGGCAAGTGGATGGAAGGAGTGGACTTTGTCGCCAGTACCGACTTTGGGGAGAGCCTCCTGCCTCAGAGTTTGACTCAGTGTGACTATTCAAGGATACATTTGGGAGTTTATTAATAGGAGTGTATGGTTGGGGACTGGGGGTACATAGGGATGATAGTTCTTATCACGGACCGTGTTGAGATGTGTATCATTATGTTTGTTGATTCGCTGATGCTTACTGTCACTATCATTTCTGCAGAGGCGATGGTTTCTCGCAAGCAATTTCGCGATACGTGCTAGAATCCAACCAAAAACCAATTTGGACCGGGAAGCCCTAATGGAACTCTCTACCTAAATTGATCTGGGTCCCTGTGCGCCAGGTAGTGCTGCTGAAGAAATCTGTGGGTGAGGAGTTACCATTGAACCTACCCTCTGTGGTGCTAGCTCAAGCTTGGGGATTGCGTGTAGGTCCAGTTCAGGGTTTAAGGCTCCCAATTTCCGAGAAATGGTGAAATCAAAGCCCAAGGCAAAACTACGCTTGTCCCGGGCGGGAACAAGTTCGTGATCTCGGAGAAGTTCATTCTAGTCGCCCAGGCGACTTGCTGGTTTGCAGATCCTGTTTCCGTCACGCTTGCTATTCCTCATAGCTCTCGAAACACTTGTTGGGTTTACTGCTACCATGGTACGAAGTACTACCCTTCCTGCGCTCCCTGCTATTCAGTGGCCCAGGCGAAGGATGTTTCTGCGCAGACGGTGAACCTAAAGGTCAGCACAGATGGCTCATGGTTTCGCAAGGCCGGTAAGGTTTGGGGTTGCGGTGCGCCTTTTTTCTCTATTTTTTCCTCTCTCGCCAATCTCTCTCTATCTCGAGAAGTATTTTGGGGCTTTCAGTGGCACATGTGAAACTTAGGCTTGATGACTCTCGACGCTAGCTAGAGCCCGGGCCAGACATCGCTTGACTTTATCTTCCAGTTCGAAATGGTTCCCAATATTCTGGTGAGCTAGCCCTTACGAGCTTTTTGTAACTGGCTTGCTTGTTTAGCATTTGGGGTTTCTTCTCTGCACAAGGCATTGGCCCTGGGGCAAGGCATGTACTTCTTTTGGTAGGTAGGAAAGCGCTTAGCTTACGTCCAGTGACGTCCAATCAGCCCCTGATGGCTGCTACCACAGATTGAATCATATACAGTAGTGTTTCTCACAATGCAGCTACTCATAACGTAACCTTCCCTGACCGTGAGACATTGTCTCACTGCCGACATAATCTTGCCTCCGTGCCGCGAACAGACTTTTCAGACGAACCGTCTGTGGAAAGCAGCATCCACAAATGATTTGCTCCACCATCATCGGATCCCGCGAGAGTGCACAAGCAGTTTCTGGCATCCCACCAATGCAAAGATGTGTGACTCCAGGCCGTGCTTCCCGCGCAGTTAGACGAGAAGTCCTACACAGTCCTTGATGCGTCTGAAGGTTCTCTGGCTGCACGCAAAGGAGCTGGTAGGAAGCTGTCTGACATCTTTGTGCGAATCTGTGCCATTTTTCATGAGCCCTTTGAATGAAAGCACCTCCTGAAGCGACTTGCTTCGAGCCTTGTGGTGTTGGAGGTATGGTTGTCCTGCACGTGAACCATGGAAATGGCCTTGGCAACGTTTATGTCTCGGACTCTTGGCTTGTCCCAGCGGGGCAGTTGAACATCAAGATATGCGGCGGGCGCACCAGACCCGGCGTTGTTCAGCCCAGCACCCCACAAGCTTGTCGATGCCGACTGTCAATCCCCTGCTGCATTCCTGACTTGAAGGTCTTTGGACAACGGTCTTAGGTGAACGGCTTGCTCAATCTCACGAAGTGCTAAAATCTTAAGGGTGCGTTGCATACTCCAGTTTGCATGGGATATTCCAACCCACCTTGCATCCCAACGAAACCACACATGAAAATAGCGGTCATCCTATCCTCTAACTTCCGTATTAACGACAGGATGAATCTGGCGCTCGCTACATCTTGTCCTTGGAGCACAACGTGGGACTGCAGGGTCATGCAGCCTTCGAAAAGGCGGGCAGGTTAGGGACTAGGACTAGGGTTGAAGGCTTCTGCAAACCTGCGGCTTTCAGCCTTATGATTCAAATTTTAGGCGGTTTCGAGGAAGTCCCCGTGTTGCCTGACAGGTGACAAACTTGAATGGCATCTATTTCGCAACTTGCCTGCGCCAAAGAAGGGCACTGCAGCTGTTTGCAACCATTCGTAGCAGGCGTAGTGCTCATCATGTCAATGTGGCTTCAACAGATGGTATTCGTGTGTAGGGATGCGGCAAGTTGGCAAGCTCAGATTTCTGGGCAGCTGAGGCCAATGTCTGGGCTGCTACAAACAAGCCTGCAGGCCTGTTGTCTGAGTTAAGGTTGCTGCTTCTTTATGGGTTATATAGGGTTATATAGGGGTTGTAGGGATAATATAGGGTTGTATAGGGATTGACGGAGAATAGCATGGAAACTACTATCTTTTTGAACCGGTGAATCTCAACCGCACAATGCACAACATGGTAAAGTCTTACTACGGGGACTCACCCTCAAGCGGCGCATTCGCTTTCGAGTGAAGAGGTTGGAAGCTTTGATTTCGGGCAGGCAAGCTTGATCCAGTCCCCCACACCTGGCTGAATCATGTGGCTTGGAAGGCATGGGAGGGTGGACGGAAGGAAGGTGATGCGATAGACGGCCCATTGTACTGAGAAGGATTCAAAAATCGGTTATATAGGGGGGGTTATATAGAGGAGTACTATAAGTTATTAAGGGGGATATTAGGAGTTTAGACTATTGCTCATGTGGTGAGTGGACATGGAAGGCGGCTGGCAGCTTGCAATCAGCCAGTTTTGTGTTCCAGACCAGAACCTCCTCACACGAAGCCAACGGGGCAACTCAGTGCCACCCACAGTCATGCTTATGAGCGTTCGTGAAAAGTTACAGCTCTTCTTGAGGTTTGAGATCAGTACTTAGAGCTGAACTCTCTGTACCCCTGGTGTTCTGTTTTAAAGAAGTCCGCAAACCCTAAACCCAGAAAGACAATTCTTTTGAAGAAGAGTTCAAACTCTGAGGAAGACTACGGGCTTGGAGATGACTCTACACAGACCCAGTCAGAGCGATCCATCCGCTACCTCAAGGCACGTGGTTATCCTTCAAATCTAGGCTTGATGAGGGTTCGGGCTACTTGGGGTTCAGAGCAATCTTTTTGGATCTCTAAGACTTAGGCAGTGTTGTTGCGGTCCATCACTGTTGGAAGCTATAGCACTCAGTGCATAGTACGCACAGGCAAAATGTAAAATGGATCTGTACTGATCTATGCAAGCAAGTCTCACGTAGATTTAAACTTATCTAGCTCGCTCAAGGAGTTCTACCAGTAGCAAGAATGTTACAAATCATGCAGTGTAATATTGTACTTTCAAACTTCTTTGACATTCCTTCTTTCCCTGCTGTCGAGAGGCAAGTGACAACTTGGTTGGATTTACGCAATGCTTTCTGGGCGGACATAGCTGGTGTGTGCTGCATCCCAGGGCATGTATGAGACATTACAGAATGAAGAATTGGACACGGAGACAATACGGCTTTGTGATTGCTACACAGTACAATCCATGTGACTTCTGTACACAAGAGTGCCTATAAATATATTTGGGTCTATATTGGGGTCCCCTTATTCATGGAAACTGCAGTTCGGCGCATCTTCTCATGGCAGGCGCGCCCTTCAGTGCAGAAAATGCAGCAGCGTCGACTAGACACCAACATCTCCATGCTGCTCAGCTGGACTGGTAGATGTCATTCGGGTTCTTATCCATGTACTGTTGCCGGTCTTGTGCATGCTTGCAAGAGGGTTTCTCTAGACAATGTCGGTGGCCTGAAGCTCAGAGCCCTAAAGCCCGCAGCAACTTAGGTTCAGCCTCCCGGAAAAAGGGCGCGACAAAAAACACAGCTTAGGTCCATCCGGAGCCGCATATCTTTCGATGCTGGCGGAGAGTGGCAACCGCTGCGGCCACCCAGCAAGGACGAAGCGGTGCGAGTAGCACTGACAGCTGCGACAGTCCTCCCATGTAGTAGAGGTATGGCTATGACCAGTTGGCGCAACTCCGCTACATGATTGCCTGTGGAATTTGCGCTGCTGTCGTTGCTAGTGTCGAGGTTGTGTTTTTGTACTTGTTGCGTTGCGCTACTCATCTCATCATCCGAGTAGAGTGCATACATCCCCAAATAATGTTAAATGCAATTGTAAGGACTCACCCCCACATCAATCCTAGAGCAAGGGTTGATAATCTTGACAACGTTCTTTAGGAAGGACCTAGGGTTTCGTGAGCAGATACGAGTAGTAGTTTGGTCATGAATCACGGCGTCTCAGGGTTGGGTATTTGTGCTCGTGTTGCTGCCTGTGGAGGCGGACCCATTTCTCAGGCTTCCTTGAAGGCCGAAAGGCCGCAAGCTCCAAGCGGCACTGTTTGTGGAGACCACAACTCCCCCCCGGCCCCCTGCCGAGGCGTGGAGAAGGCACAGCCAAACTGGATTGGATGATGTGTAGTGGCAACGGAATGGGATTGCTAGTATGGCATTTGCAAGACGGAGGTAGGTCACACAAAGCCTAAGAGCTAGGCACTAGAACCCAACCTGAAGCAAGCCCAATCTGCTCCAAACCTGAATCCCTGAACCTTCTACCCCGAACTCACTCTACACATGAAAAGAAGCCCAGAACCCAAAGCCCTAAACCCTAAAACCCTACCCCCTCAACCTTACGAACCCCTGGGCCCTAAGCCCTGCAAGGACTCCTCGGGGGCATCCATCAGCTGTCAGCCGGGACTTTGTGGTCTCCACCTCCACGGCGCGGCTCCGGGAGCTGGAGAGGGAAGGAGTAAGGAGTTAGGGCTTCAGAATTTAAGTAAACATCAAGCGGGTATACAATTTCGAGATCATGGTGTAGGATTCAGGGTTGAGGGGAGGGGTCTGCACTTGGGGTTCAGGATTTTGAATTTGGGGTGGGTTTGGGGACTAGGGTTTAGGATTGAGGTCAAGTGGAGAGCCCTTCAGACTTGTGCAGTTCCCAACATTACCTCCAAAGTGCCCTCCACACAGGGGGGTGTTGTAGAAATCATAAAGGAGGCATGGAGGGACAATGTAGGGCCTGTCCAAGACATATGACGGATCATGCAGGGAGTGTATGGTTGGCATACAACTTGCAGCTAATTGCCAGTTACTCCGGGATTCGCTGGCATGATTTTAAGACAGGGGTTGTGTAGTGTAGTAATTGCAGGGCGGCACTCTGGCATTGTTAAATTGCTGCCCGCATGGATTTGAGGAAGGAAGTCGTGTATAGTCCAAGCTTATGTGCCCCCATCAGATGTCTCAACATTAATGGGCCCAAGGACAGTTGTGATGACGCAGACCTCACTAATTTCGGGATATCAGCAGCCTTAAGTTGGAGTGTGCAGATATCTCTGAATACTGCTGTCTCGATCTACTTACTAAAGCCCACATAGCCTGCGACTGCTCTGCAGATTCGACCTTTGACGGCAAATTCGTGGCATGGCTGCATTGATGCAGGAGGGTCCAAGACACGGACTCCAGAAAAAAAGTCCCATCTAGATGTACACTATGTAGAGAATCGGCATCCTAAGTCTGGGGAACCCCAATGATGGGACCTGCATTGCTTTTTGGATGTGACCCATAGCTTTTGCCCTCGCTGTGTGGTTGCCGCAGAGGTGCCGTTTTACTCCTACGACAAGGCCGTCGGCATCGTCATGGGCATCGGGAACGTTGGGCCCCAACTGAGCTCTTCACCTGCATCTGGTTGGTTTAGGGTTGAGGGTTTAGGTAATTCTTGTGCTTAGTATGGCAAAGGTTTTTTGGGGCCTGAAAGGACCGGAAAGAACGATATATAGTTGGGTCTGGCGCAAGCTGTTCATTCACAAAGGAAGATGCACGGGACCCAAGCCATAGCTCAAGCTAGCTGACCTGCCTCTTCCCAAAGATCCCGACAGCAGCAGCTACATGCAGTCGAGATGGCGCCTGAGGTTTCGAATCTCACGAGGTCAACACCTATCTGTCGCGCGACGGTGGGCTGAATTGGCAGGAGGTCCGAAAAGGCGTAGCTCGGTGGCAGTAGAAGCACTAAACCCTAAACCCTAACCCATAGACCCGACAGGGTGCCTATCCTCTGCAGCGCCAGGTTCACATCTACGAGTTTGGGAACCATGGTGCTGTGCTTGTTATGGCTGATATCCTGGCAGACACTGATGCCGTGATCTACTCCATGGATGAGGGTCGCTGGATCCTTGTTAAGTGAACTTCTACATGTTCGAGTCTACACTTCCCCAGACCCTAGAAGCCCTCAATGATCCTCATAACCACTTTGACATCCGTTGGATCCCTCTGCAGCCTGCAGCTCCCTGAAACGAATTTCCAAATCCTAGAATAAAAGGCTCAAACTCCCAACCTTGGAGTCTGTGCCCTGAACTGTCTAACCCTAAACCCCACACTCTGATAGGGATCCCATGAACGTCAGCAGGTCAGTCCTGGCAGACACTGCATCTGAGTACCAAGATGAACGCACCCTGCCAGGAGCAGTAGAAGTTTAGGGTTTGGGGTTCAGGGCCTTTAGGGTGAAGGACTCAGGGTTTGGGGTTTAGGGCCTCTTAGGTGACGGATCCAGCATTTTGACTGCAGGGACTATATTTAGTAGGGTTTAGAGTTTGGAGCTTCGGTTGTTTAGCTTGGTCTACATATACAGCCAGGGTGCCAGTATCTTAGTTTTCTCATGGGCATTTCTCGAAAAGCTGGTGTCTGTGTGCCCCCCATATGAGTTTCCCCAATCTGGGAACAATACAGAAGACAAACTCTACATATTTTGCCAGGCCCTCTTTTGAAGCTGGGTAACATGTTCATGCCGTGACAATGATTGAAAGAGTCAAAATCAAGATGAAGACTGCCTGGAACTTGGTGCTGCCAATGCTGGCCAACTGGCAAGGACCTCTGATGACCAATCCAGTAGTAGGATCTGAATAAGAATCTTCATATCTGACTGCTTGGCGCAGGGGTCATGATAGGATTTCTGCAGCCAGGTGACCAACATCCTCACTGAGCCGAGAGCTGTCGCCACAAAGTTCCTGGCGTATGGCACGGTGGGAGGCTGGGAGGTGTTGGGGGGGTGGGGGGTGGCGTGGTGTACTAAGGTGGAGGGTGTAGGGTTTGGGGTTGTGGGTGTAGGGGCTTCGGGCAGGTCCGCGGCGCAAGTCTGAACGTTTGGTAACCTAGAGGTCCCTAATAATCTTCCTACCTCTATCTTCATATTGAAGAACCCTGAGATTTTGATAGTGTACTTCCCAGCTCGATCTCTAGAAAGAATCCCCTTCTATCACTAAATACTTCCTCCATCACCAGGGTGGAATCATTAATCACATCCGAAGACACATCTAAGTTCAGGTGCTGGTGTGGTGCAATATCTGGACTTTGATGCTTTGGGCTGGATGCCTTGCAGGAAGCCAGACCACCCGAATGACGATGGCTCTGAATTCTGCCCTGAGAGCGTACATACTTTGTGCAAGTTTTGTTTTCTTTCTTGCCGGCTTCTATACGCGCAAGCTGTGTGTACTTCTATTCTATTGCTTCCATGGCGATGCGCTTGAAACCTGCTTTGCAGTTGAAAAGAAGGCCTCAATCTGGAAAGCTAGTGGGTCAATGTTGGATCAATTAACATCTCCTCGAGTACTTAGGCACAATTGAGGAATGAAGATCTTGTCTAGTTGCGTGCTGGCCCCATTCACGACCCTGGTGAAGAAGTGTCTTTCTCAAGGTCAGTGTTCCCTGTGCCGGCACAAGAAGAAGCTCCTTTATGATCAATTTTCATCCCTCAGGGGTTGTTACATACTCACGGTTTACTCCGGAATGGGGATAGGCCCTAAACTGGAAATCCCACGCCTCAAACCTTGAAATGGTAGTTTCCCTCAACAGGGGGACCCGAATATAGAGCCAAAATACCATAATCCTTATCCTTGGGGCCCTCCAAATGATACCCCTAATTTTGGGAACCCTAATCCCCAAGCCCTAAACCTTATATATCCCTATATAACCCCCTATGTATCCCCTCAAACGGTACCCCTAAGTTTGGGAAACCTTGAAATTGGACATCCAAGGACTATGAGACTTGGTCACCCTCAGACGGCTTCACTGCAGATGTCGCCTGCCTGCTGGGCCAGCAGACGCGCTATGTCCGGCGCCCCGTGGTTCTGAGGTAATGTATATGGGGTTAAGGGCTCATGGTTTAGGGTTCAGGGTTTAGGGTTCAGGGTTTATGGTTGAGGTTAAGCAGCTAGTTTTCTGCTAGAATTGTCATCCAACGAGTGACAAACTGCAATGGCGATGAGCTCGTGAAGCATGTAAATCGCTTTCTTGACTTGGTTTTTGAAAGGAAAGCGCTCGACGGAATGCTTCAATCGCAGAGAGACCAAGCTGCCAGTGGTGTCAGAGTCTTGTTCCTGCAGACGGGAAGATTTCGAGTGCGAAGTTGGCTTCGAGCTGGCTGTAGACTCCAACAACTGCATCAAATCCTCCATTCCGCTGGTGGGATTTGTGGAGGAGGACCCGCCCGAGTGTTGCCTGGCGGCAAGAGCGGCAGCATGAATTAAGTCTAAGAGATTGGAGACTGACATGGGAGATTTTTTTTGGCAGCCCAATGCTTTGGGTATACTTGTTGAGGCCCCGTTGAGGAACATGTCCCGGAGCCATGACTCTGACCTTCAGGTAAGCTCAGAGACACCTACACTGCTAATATGTACCGGCGCATACCCGGTGATCATTGCTGGAAGCTCAGAAGGATCTTGTTGCAGACGCTACCTCCATGATCGGTCCCGACATGGTAACATACGATGTTAAGGTAGTACTGCTTATTACGGGTGGGGGATGCTTATTGCTTCTACAACATTGTGCATTTTAGTTCTCGGTGTTATCTCTCGAAGCAGCGCTCTTGCTTCTCGCCGATTGTTAACGGTACCTGTGCTGCCGCGAAAGATGACGACCTTCTTCATAAGGGTTGTTGCTCCTGTTCGATGTTGACAACCATCAGTGCGTTCGCGGCATGCCTCGCTACCTATGCACAGTCATGATTGAGAGCAGCTGCTAGCGCGCGCGCAGGTGAAAACGGGTGGTATCCTCCACAGTACGAGGTGAGGTGCAAGGACCTGGTTTAGGGCTTGCATGCTATGCTCGGGGTTTAGAGTCGGACTTATGTGGTGCTCAGGGGAATGAAGTTGGTTTGGCAGTTTTTGCTTGATGAGCTTTGAGACTAGTGACAAATCAAGACGCAATTATTCCCTGCCTACACAGTTTCACCCAATAGTTCGGAACAGGCTCAAGTACCACTCCCCTAAGGCACAGGGGTTTTATGGGAGTCCTTATGGGAGTACTATGGAAGCTAATCACCTATAAACTAGCCACCTGGAACTGTAGTAGTTTCCATTTTTCGTTTCCATTATCCCTAGATAACCCATTATACTAAAGAATTTTCCATTTTCTTTTCCATTATCCCTATAGCCCTATAGAACCCCATTGTTCTATAGTAGTTTCCATTTTATTTTCCATTCTCCCTGTATTTCTATAAAGCTTTTCTGGGAGGAGACGAGTGTCAGCTCAGGGGGGAGCCTACCGGGATCCCTTAAACTCGTCTTGCTGGTCCTGGCCGTTGCAGCCCCTGGGACGAAGACGAAACCCTCCAGAAGAGTAGTTCAAGGGACATAGTCCCCCTTAAGTAGATAGAACATGGGCTATATAAGGGGATCTTATTATGATATACCCTAAGTGTGTGGACCACCAGTTGGGGAGGAAGCAAAGGCACCATGGTACATGTTTAGGATTTTACTCCCGCCTTCCCTTCCAGGTCGTCCTGTACGTGGCAAGGTCGGATCGATTCCAAGACTGGCAGCTTGACGAACTGTAGTAGTTTCCATTTTATTTTCCATAATCCCTAGATAACCCCATTATACTATAGTAGTTTCCATTTTATTTTCCATTATCCCTATAGAACCCCTTGGTGTGAAGCTTGGGCTTCATAGTGCAGGACCAGGATGTAGGATGTAGGGCTATTTCTAAGGTTGTTCTGGTTCTGAGGGTAAGGGGATGCACGTAGCTTAGCCATGAGAGCACTGAAGCTGCGCATCCTGTTGCTTGCCCCGAACCCTGCCATGTCGTGGACATCATGGCCCCTGAAAGCTCCTGTTACTCTTTGCCAGCTAGGCTCTACTTCTCCTAGATCCAAAGCTTGGTGACGTTCCACTCAAGTTCTTTCCCTCTGATGGCTTGATTGACCGCATGCCTGCTCCCGACATGCGCAGCTACTTCGTAACGCGTTGGGCCTTGAGTGAATCGCTCTGAGCACGCCTAGGGCAGTCCCTAAATCTAAGTGGTGATGTTTGGAAGTTAAGATGAGTAGTATTTCTTTATTTGGGGATACTAACCCCATTATAGTAGTTTCCATTTTATTTTCCATTATCCCGAAACTACCCCAATATACTCAGGTGAACATGACAGGAGCTTTTGGTTTTGGGAATCATGCAGGCAGTGGCCAGCTTTGTACAAAGTTCAACTCCAATCCAATCCCCACGCAAGAGTTTCTTGGCAAAACCTCTACGCACGCAGTAGAAAGCCCTGGAGGCAAGCAGCAACGCAAAGTTAAACAAGGATGCGGAAAAGATTCATTCGTTTTCCATTCTTCCGCCTTTTAACCATGTTAATCGTGAAGGATCTCAGGCACGGGCCTTGCTCCACTAGACTTGCCCAGAGTACAGCAAGTGGCTCTCCTGTTACAAGCCGTCAAGGGGCCACCGCGTTGAAACATTCTAATGTGCATTTGCAGCCGTAGACATCTCGGCTTGTATGTCTTGAGGTGGGACGCTTTTGCAAGCAGAGCCCGAAACGTGGACTTCAAGCCCGTGCAATCTGTCGCTCGCTTTCGAAAGGTTTTCAGGGTGTACATATCCGTAGTTTCCTTAGAAACCTCCTTAATTGCCGAGTTGAATGTCAACGTGATGGTATGTTTGCAACATGGCAAGACTTGATGAATGGTTTCCAGTTCGTTCCCTGTCTGAGGAGCTTCCAGGCATTCCTCGGTATCGCGCACCCTCCATTGCGCGATTCTAAGCCAAGATCACCTGGACAGATGCCACAAGTACGAGGAGATGATCGGAGCTTCTGGGCGCAAGCTCCACCCGCAGCACGACCTAGGCGGCAGCTTTAACACCAATCAGGGGACTTCAGCAATTTCCCCCCAGCTTCGAACCGTGCCTCAAGCCTCCTTATCCCCCTTTTTGAGAAAACAGTCCCTGAACCTAAATCCTACAGCCTACACTGTACTCTCTATCCTGAGACACAAGCCATGTTTTGAAACATCCAGGTGAGTAGGGGGATACCAAAGTCCCCAACATCGAGTATGATTATATCTTCTTTCTGGTTATAGTATGTTCGACGAAGAGAATATTGTTACTAGGTTTGACTGCCCCAAGCAACATTGCTGTCAGGTGGAGTACTGAAAGCTGCTGGCTGACCCACAGATTGGGAGTTCGCGGCGTTGAAAGATGCAGTTGCCAGGGATGTGGGGAGTGAACAGCTTCAGGCTTAAATGTGGTATGGGGATCTGAGAATCAGTTGTAGTTTCCAGCTTATTTTCCATTATCCCTATGTAACCCCAGCATACTAGATAGTAGTTTCCATTTTATCTTCCATTTTCCCTATGCAACCCCAGTATACTAGATAGTAGTTTCCATCTTATTTTCCATTACTGTTATGGAAGCTGTTCCAGTTCAGGTCCCAGGGAGTGGTAGGTGGGAGGTGAAGCCCGCGCCCAGGTGTTCGAGTCCGTGACTTCATGAGCTCCGGAGAGCGAGACACCTTTTGCACGGAGGCATGGGGCGTCTGTGTGGACTTTCGACGAAAGCTCTGGGAAGCAGTTCTAGACCATCCCGAATTTTGTATAGAAAAGGGCAAGGGTTTGATCGCTGCAGGTCCTGGTGCAGATGTCTGACATGGAGGCTTGCAGCCTGGATGGTGGTGGGGAGGCCCCCGATGAACGTGAGCTTTGAAGGACTTGTCGGAAGGAAGCTTTAGGATCTGGCCTCGTCAGAACCTAGGACCTAGGGAAAACTCAGATCGCAACCTACGCACCGAAACCCTAAACCCTCGCGTTGAACTGAGCTGGAGGTAAGAACCCCATGCCGTGCCTACCAAACATGAAAAGTCCCAGGGGTTTAAAAAAAACCCAAGACCCTTGGAGTCGGGAGAGCTTCCAAGCCAGCCAGGTGACGATTGCTGGACGTGGGCTTCGGGACTTTGCGAAAGCGGCAGACGCCAGGGCACCAGTGATAGGTTTGTGGGCCGGTGCCAGCTATTTGGGGGTTTCCCAAAAATTAGGTCCCAGCCACCAAAAAAAACCACCGAGCATGATGATGATGATGCTGATGAGTATGATGATGATGAGTATGATGATGGGCATGATGATGAGTATGATGATGAGTATGATGATCATCATGATGACGAGTATGATGATGATGATGGTGATGATGATGATGATGATGAAGATAAGGATGATGATGATGATCATGATGATGAGTATGATAATGA